GCAATGTAGGCGGCAATGTGCGTACAGCAAAGTCCTATAAACAGCTGTGAATTGAATGACCAATTTTATTTGAGGGATTGTTGGCCTTCTCTTTTTGAATAGTGCCACGGGATATTTTATGTCTACCTGAACAGGCACAGATGAGACCTTGGTTTAATATCTCATTCGAAGAACAACACCTCTAACAATGTAGTGCTCTCCCATCACTTCGCTGGAGCATCAGGCTCAAATACGAGTAGCTAGTTCCAATGTGGGGCTTGATCCTACGAACAAGAGCACTACCAACCTAGCCAGGCTCACACACAGACGGTAGCCCGGATTTGTTTGGCCGTTGCATTTCTCTCTCGCTGTCGGGTGACCTAGATTCCTCTGCACATCCGCATGATTCCCCACACTTGAGACAAGGTGAAAATGCATCTGTACTTTGAGCAGCCTTTTTGCTTCAGTGAGCAGCACTGGGCAGTGCAGTGAATAGTCTTGTGTTTCCTGCAGAATTGAACATTGTCTGCTTGTTGTTTGAGTATGTTGTGGCTGAACATGGGGTGTGGTGGGGGAGGGAAACTCAAGGCTGAGATGAAATAATCGTGAGTGATTTGTTTTTGTTTTGAATTATGAATGCATTGAAGGCACCTTCACACCACATGAACCAACGTTGAGCATTGTTCAAGCTCGCTCATGTGTGATTCCTTTAACTGCTGCTGTTGCTGAGTTCAGTCCGGGGGGAGGGGGGGCAGGGGTCAGCCTTTCCTCCGAAACAATGGGATATAAGAGGCAATGTTGAAATGACTACTTTCTCTCTGTCTTCGTCACTGGCACAATTTTTCACATGGGAACAATTATTTCATGGTATAACTAGATACTTATCAGGGCTTGTCAGCCTGGTGCAGTGGTAGCACTTTAACCACTGAGTTAGAAGGTTGTGGATTCAAGCCCCCCATCGGGACTTGGAATCACACAGTCTAAGCTGAGACACCAATGCAATGTTGGGGGGTGTTGCAATGTCAGAGGTGCCGTCTTTTGGATGATACATTAAACCGAAGTCCCGTCTGCCTATTCAGATGGACATTAAAGATCCCATGGCACTATTCGAAAAGAGAAGGGAGTTTCTCTCATCGTCTTGGCCAAAAATCCCCGAAATAAAATGGGTCACTCACTCCACAACTGTTTGTGGAACATTGCTGTATGCAACGCGGTGCTGCATTTTGTCGACAAAATACAGTCTCTCCACTTTACAATATATTCTATGAAGCACTTTGAGATATCTTAATGACTTGATGAGGCGCTATATCAAATGCAAGGATTATTATTATATTATTATTGTTGATACGCTGCAGTATTGGGAACCAGTTGGTGGATCTGTTGAATGACATGAATAACAAGATGCTGACGCTGACTCGGTTCCACGTGTTCCACACTGACAGCAGATAGTTAGTGGACTGGATGTGGCTGAGAGGAAGCACCAAGAGGCGTTGGATACGTCATGTTGGCACTTATCTCTGGTGAACTGGTCCTGTAGGCATTGCTGTCAGACTCACTCAGTCTGTTGCACTCTTGCCTCCCAGTCAGAAGATTGTGTGTTCAAGCGCCACATCAGATGTTTGAGTTCACAGTCTAAGCTGATACTCCAGTGGTGTGCTGGGGTGGAGCACCACATTGTTGGTGGTGCGGTCCTTCGGATGAGATGTTAAAACCGAGCTTAGGTCTACCTGTTCAGGTGAATGTTAAATATAAGGCACAATTTCAAAAGAGAAGGGAGTTGCTACTGGTTTTGTCCACAAAATACAGTCTCTCCACTTTACAATATATTCTATGAAGCACTTTGAGATATCTTAATGACTTGATGAGGCGCTATATCAAATGCAAGGATTATTATTATATTATTATTGTTGATACGCTGCAGTATTGGGAACCAGTTGGTGGATCTGTTGAATGACATGAATAACAAGATGCTGACGCTGACTCGGTTCCTACTGGCCAATAAATCCCCACAAATAAAAATTAGTCACTCATTCCTTGGCTGTTGATGGGACATTACCCAGGCCAATACAATAACAAAATTACATTTGTGTAGCGCCTTTCACGTCAAGAGGACGTCCCATGGCGCTGGACTGCCAGAGTTTCAGACCAGAGCTGGAGGTCGGGATTGGGGAGGGTAGGGGGGGGAAGCAGAGTGATCGAAAACACGGTCGAAGAGGAGGGTCTTGAGGTGGGTCTTGAAGGAGACAAGAGAGGGGCTGCAGGGAGGGACTCTGAGATGGAGTTTCAGAAGGGTGTGCAGAGTGGCAGAAGGCCTGCCCACCAATGGTGGGGTGGGCAAGGCGGGGGACGTGAAACAGGCCGGAGCCCGCTGAGCAGAGGGATCTGACAGGATGGTAGGGTGTTAGGTGGTTGCAGATGTGGGGGGTGGGGAGCAAGACCATGGAGGGCTTTGAAAGTGAGGACCAGGATCTTGAACTGTATCTTGAACTGATGGGAAACCAGTGGAGTCGGGCGAGGATGGGGGTGATAGGGTCACAGAGCCTAGTGCGGGAGAAGACACGGGCTGCAGAGTTCTGGATGATCTGCAGCCTATAGAGGGAGGAGTTGGGAGGCCGACAATCAAGGAGTTTACATAGTCAAACCTTGATGTTATGAATGCGTGTATGAGGGTATTAGCGGCCTACGGTGTGAGCCAGTGGCAGAGCTGGGCAATGTTGTAGATGTGGGGGAAGGCAGAGTAGGTCATGGCATGGATGTGGGGTAGACAGGATAGTTGAGGGTCAAATAAGACACCAAGGCTTAGTAAGGTGGAGTGTGCAACCATGGATGGTGATGCTGTCAGTGCCTGAGGTGAGGAGGCGCTGGCGGGAGCCAATCAGGAGAGCCTCGGTCTTGTTGACGTTCAATTGAAGAAAGTTAGGTCTCATCCAGGACTTGATGTCTGACAGACAGTCTGTCAGAGCAGCAGTGGCCCTGGAGTCGATGGTGGAGGCAGAGGGATAGAATTGGGTGTCATCAATTCAGGGAATGGCGGGAGAGGAAGGAGAAAATAGAAAAGTGCAATAGAGAACTGCAGAAATATTTGCCCCAAATGCTGGGGATTTTTGACAAATTTTGTGGGAAATTGCGGGGAGTTGATTGGTGCTATTGAGATATATTTTACTGCCAACCTACATTTTTTCACTTTATTGATGAAAACTAAACATGAGGAAATAACACATATTAGATGCAAAAAAAAATATTTCTTCTTTGACAAAAACTGGGGGGATGGGTGGGGGGGAGGAACGACGCACTAGCACAGGCCCGAAGGCATGGAGATCCGTCAAAAAACAGGCGCTCAGGACCAGTGTCCTGACTGGGGCTACAGAAGGTCGCCACCTCCTGCCTCTCAGAGCCCACCACTGCATACAGACACAGAGACAGAGACTCAGAGAGAGACACACACATTCACAGACACACACTCATTAGACGTAAAGAGACATACACACACAGACAGAGGAGAGAAAGATACACATACACACAGACATATAGACACACGCATAAACACACGCATGTAGAAGAGACACACACAGAAACTCACATAGAGACACTCACATACACAAATACATAGAGAGACACACAAACACTAACAGAGAGAGACACACAGACACTCATACACAAACACAGACAGAGAGACACAGAAAATCACAATAGCGGGGTCTTTAAGTGGTGTTTATAGCTGGGGTGTTTATAACAGGGTTTGTTTATAGCGGGGGGTTGTTTATAGTGGGGGTGTTTAAAGCGGGGGTGGTGTTTATGGCGGGGGGTGTTTATAGTGGGGCTGATGTTTATAGCTGGGATGTTTATAGTGGAGGGATTGTTTATAGTGTGGGATGTTTTTAGGGGGTGTTTATAATGGGGATGTTTATAACGGGGTGTTTATAGCGGGGGGTGTTTATAGGGAGATGTTTATAACAGGGGTGTTTATAATGGGGGTGTTTATAGTGGGTGTGTTTATAGTGGTGGAATGGTTTATAGTGGGGGGTGTTCATAGGGGGTGTTTATAGCGGCGATGTTTATGCAGGGGCTGTTTCTAACGGGGGTGTTTATAATGGGGGTGTTTATAGCGGGGTTGTGTTTATAGTGGGGGTGGTGTTTACAGCAGGGGGTGTTTATAGTGGAGGGATTGTTTATAGCAGGGGGTGTTTATAGTGGAGGGATTGTTTATAGCAGGGGGTGTTTATAGTGGAGGGATTGTTTATAGCAGGGGGTGTTTATAGTGGAGGGATTGTTTATAGCGGGTGGGGGTTTATAGCGGGTGGGGGGTGCGTTGTTTATAATCGATTCCTCGGAAAATTTGCAGCTGCACTTTTCTATTGGCCCAAGACATTGCTGTGTGTAATTGGCTCCCGCGTTCGCCAACTTTGCAGTGAAACTCTGTGAAGAGCTTTGAGAAGTCTTCTTAATGGGAAAGGGCCCGTATCAAATACAAGGACAATTCTAATCATTATAAAAAGTTGAAATTACAAAAAAATGAATATCCTTGCATCTGATATAGCATCTGATCACATCGTCGATGGCCAATTTATCAGCGTGGGACTCGCGGAGTACTGTAGTGTATTGGTTAGAGCATTCAGCTCACAAGCGAGAGAACCTAGGTCCTATGGCACTATTCAAAAATAGAAGGGAGTTTCTCTCAATGGCCTGGCCAGCAATCCCTCACATAAAATTCAAAAATTCACTAAATAGCGGTTTGTGGGACGTGGCTATGTGCAAATTGTTTACCTTGTTTGCCTACAAAATAAACAGTCACTCACTCCACTCAACAGAGAAACTCTGAAGTGCTTTGAGACCTTTTGACATGATAACTCACTGTGTGAAATGCAAGGGTTATTTTTAACTTTGGAAGTGTAGAATCCAAATACACCGTGTTGAAATGCGTAGCAGTATATATGTATTTTGGAAGAATTTTTCATTGCTGGAGTTTTTCTCCCTTTGACGGTGTGCCAGCACTTCATTAACCAGCTCTGACTCTGTTCTAGTGATATCCAGTTTTCGGGGTACAGTTCCTCACGGTTTGCCATTGGAAGTCGGAGATACCGTTCAAATCCTGGAAAAATGCAACGGTGAGTTTCAGAATGCCATTGTTTTCATCGCCACAATCAGAACAAATTGTATTTGTACAGCGCTTTTCACTTTGGGAGGATGTCTCAAGCCTCTGGACAGTGAGGAGTTTACAACCGAGCTGGAGTCAGGACGGGTCCAGAGTAGGGGGTGTTGGTGAGAAAATCATCAAAGGTACGTCATTTTCTAACTGTCTCGAAGAGAAAGCTCTTGAGATGGGCCTTGAAGGAAGCAAGGGAGGAGGCTAGGCGAAAGCCTCCAGGATAAGAGTTTCAGAGGGTGGAGGCAGAATGCCTGAAGGCCCAACCGCCAATGGTGGGGTGGGCAGGGCGGGGGAATGTGGAGCAGGCCAGTGCCCACCGAGTGGAGGGAGTGGTGGTTGGGGAAAGATCTTGAGTTGGACAGCCTGTTCTTCAGATGTAAGCTTGCCTGAATCACCGTGTGTATAGCGTGTCATTTTTACAGTAGTATTTTGTTGTAATGGTTTTTAGATTTCCAGTAAATGTTATTCTTAAAAATCATTGATGTTTGCCAACATCATTTTTCTTTCTAATTTTACAACCTTTTAGACTTGCCTTAGAAGAGATTTTTGTATGTGCACGTAAATTGTATGTGTGTGTGTGTGTGTGTGCACATACGCACTCAACAAATGTTTGTTGTGACTATGAGGGATTCCAGACTGACCTGGCCTCTCCCTCCGCTTGGCTGACTCTGGCCTTCCCCGTTCCCCGCCCTGCACTGACAGCATCAGCATGCATGGTTGCACGCTCCACCTCACCAAGCCAGTTAGGAGCCTGGGTGTCTTGTTCGACCCTCAACTGTCCTTTCTCCCCCATATCCGTGCCTCTGCCTTCCATCACCTCCGTAACATTGCCCGGCTCTGCCACTGTCTGAACCCTCAGGCCGCCGAAACCCTCAAACATGCATTCCTAACCTCAAGGCTCGACTATGGAAACTCCCTGCTTGTCGGCCTCCCCAACTTTTCCCTCCACAAGCTGCAGATCATCCAGAACTCTACAGCTCTTGCTCTCTTCCGCACTAGGCTCCGTGACCCCATCACGCCCACCCTCGCCTGGCTCCTCTGGAGGGATGGCTCCATCCCTCAGAAGATAGAATTCAAAATCCTCGTCCTCACTTTGAAGGCCCTCCACAACCTTGTCCCCACCTATCTCTCTAACCTGCTAATCCCCGATCAACCTGTCTGCTCCCTCCGTTCAGCAGGCTGCGGCCTGCTCCAGGTCTCCTACTCGACTTGTTACACTCGACTCATCTGCAACAGAAAATAAAAATTCATTGTATAAAAAAAATCAGTGGGTAACAGAACTTTGTAAACACCTTTTTCATCTAGCAACTTCTATGCTCCAATATTCCTATGTTTGCTAAGATGTTCGTTTGTGGGCCCGTTCAGCCTTATCACTGAATTACGTCTGAATTAATTGGATTGAAATCCCTGGTTTATGCAATCTATTTGCATTATTAATGTTTTGTAGCGAACATCACAGTTAATAGCTATTGACACATGCAGCACTTGCTATGCAGGGGCAGTGTTCTCACTGCTGTTAGAAAGCCAGTACTGACGCTTGTTTTCTCTATGTCTCTTTCTCCTCAGGCTGGTATAGAGGATTCGTGTTGAAAAATCACAGCACAAAGGTATGTATATCTACGTTTCCAGATTTGGCGGCTGAACATCTTGCCACATGTGCTCCACGATGGTGCAGCGAGTGTCAGTGCTTCACTCCTGATGGGTTTGTTCTGAAGTGAGGACAGTTTATGTTTTTGTGGGGTCAGCTGGGTGATTGACACATGCAGAAACCCATCCTGTGCTTAAGAGTCTCCAAACCAAGCTGAGAATTCCATGAATCCCACCTACACATGGAAATCCCAGAGATACATTGTTGGGATGGAATGCGCGTTCTCTCCCTGGAGGGACACATCCTACTTACCTAATTTCAGAACGTATTTGGCGAAGGTTGGCAAGAGCCAAAGCTTGGGGACCCCATAGAGTGGGTTGGGGTAACTGCTTGAGTCTAACCAGTTAAAACCTCTTAGCTTGTATGAAAAGCCGCTCAATCTTTGCTAGCAACCTGTTCCAGCTGTATATTGCCCTCCATGCAGAGAGGCAGTTCTCGACATTTTTGAGCAAAACGTTGCTCTTCACAGTGGTGAACGTGTGTGTGCCCACTTGTTCTGATGCCTTGGTGTTGCTGAGAGAGTGTAGCTGCAGGTCAAGTCTGCATCGCACAGTCACTGTCCATCAAGGCTTGTCCCCAAATAAAGTCATGCCAAGTTCCCAAAGCACCAAATGTGATAAACAACCATAGGAAATAACATAACATTCGCCCTCAGCCCCTCCTCACTTTCTCTCTCTTTTCACAAAGGGTATTTTCCCCGCTTCCTACATTCACCTGAAAAATGCCAATGTCAAGAACCGAGGGTAAGTCTGCTGATGTTCAGGGCACGACAGTCTTGATGGGATTTAGGAATGTTGATTTTAAAGCTCTCCACAACCTTGCTGCTCCCCATCTCAGTGACATGCTAACCCCATACCGACCTGTCCGCTCACGGGGCTTTGGCCTGCTCTATGTCCCCTGCCCTGCTCGACCCACCATTGGCAATTGGGTCTTCAGCCTCCCTGCCCCCACCCTTTGGAACTCCATCCCACAATCCCTCCGCCTTGCCCCCCCTTTGTCTCCTTGAAGACCTGTCTCAAGATCTTCCTCGACCGCGCTTTTGGTCACCCTCCTACTCCTACCCTCCTTGCCCTCTACCCCTCCTGATCCCAACCCCCAGCTCGGTTACAAATCCTTGACCGTCCAGCACTTTGGTACGTCCTCCCAATGTGAAAGGCGATTTACAAATGTAATTTGTTGTTGTTGATGCTTTGCTCCCTGCAGTTCCCAGGTTAAATTCCTACAGGAATTCCCAGATTACATTGCCCTGCTGCCATTGGGAAGATTTTGTTTTTGGAACATTCTCGCGGAAAAAAAATCTTCCATAACAATTCAGGAAGCGTTTATACATTGTGATCCAATGAGCTGCTTGAATCTTTCCAAAAAAAAATTGGTCAACCGGTCTGACAAATGCGGAAATACGTCACCGTGCTTAAGAGTCAGCAAATATCTTTTCATAATCCCACTTACAAATGCAAATTCCAAAGATAGTTTTTTGCAATGGAATGCACACTCTCTTCTGGAAATTCTGGAAAGAATTAGGCGCAGGTTGGCAAGAGCCAAGGCTTGGGGACCACAGAGTCTGTGTTGGGGTAACTGCTGGAATCTAACCAGCTGAAACCACATAGCTTGCCATTGATATCGCTGTCTAGCAAGCTTTCCGCTACTTGTGCAGCTATGACCATCCTACTCGTTTGGGCCTTGGCTTGCCGGGTTAACCTCAATAGCCTGAAATCACGACTAGCTCCTGGTGGGGATTCAGACATCACAAGAAGATCGGATCCACTTTTGACTCCAGAGCAGCTTCCAGGGTCAGCAGTCACAGTCCTGCACCACATCCACAGATCAGACTAAAGAGTGCCCAACTACAGGGCGTTCACGAAGTCCTGTTACCCGATGTTTTTTTCCTACGGTGCACTGACCCACAACTGAAACGTATGGAATTAATTGTTTCAGTACAAGTGTTTAACTGTATTTAGATGTCCAGAGGATTGGTGCGAGCATCATCATTTTCATGGCCGATAATGATCCGTCGCCATGTTTGGTGCAACATTTTGTGTAATATGGATGTAGTGACGAGGACGTGGTATCAGACATGTGAAAAACCTGTACATTTCTGAGGTTGTTGTTTGAGCACATGATAATGCCTCATCACTGTCACAGCCTGGAATGGGAAAATGATGCACTATTGTCAGGGAACTAGATCGGGAGGAGATGCATTGGAGGCAGGGAATGCCTGCATTTTAATTTGATGCAGGCGTGTCTCAAAATGTGCACCGTTCAGATCACATGTGCTCCTTTTCATACTGCAGACAATTCGAGACGGTCATTCCAACAGAAGACACTGTCATCACAGAAATGACAGGAACGTTAAGAGAATGGGGGACAATGTGGAAACAGCTCTATGTGGTAAGGATACATTTTTTAAAATTTATTTTGTAAAGTAGCTTAGACCGTACCCTGCAATCAGGGCATCAATACAACAGCTGTCTATTGTTGTATATGTGAAACCACACAGCATCAACCAAAATCAGCATCAGGCAAGTTTTGTGAAGCGCTGACTTGCCTTAATCGGTTATTGTATTTGTTGGTTATTTATTGTAGAAGTTAGAACAACCAACTCTCTGCCTGATACAAAATCCCATTTCGAGGCACAGTATTTGACCTTAGTGTATTTCTCATCAAGGAGTCCTGTAGCTCAGTGGTTAGAGCACTCGCTTTGTAAGCGAGAGACCTGAGTTCAATTCCAGGCAGGGCAAGTTTCCTTACTCCACACGCCTAATAATAATCCCTCCAAAAACAATAATAAATTGGTCATTTTCAATCTACGACTGTTTGTGTGGACGTTGCTGTGCGCAATTGGCTGCCGCATTCGCCCACAAATATACAGTCAATTCACTTTACAGTCTGTTCTGTGAAGCGTTTTGGGACATCCTCCCGATGTGAAAAACCCTAAATCAAATGCAAGGATTATTATTATTATCAAGGTTGGCCTACAAAAATGAACAGGGGCTACTGCAGAGAGCTGACTGAATTCCGACATTCTGTTGCCAAACGTTTCACCCTGGAGCTAATTCAGCTCCAAGGAAACCCTGCTAAGGAGGTCAGGATGATATCTTTCCTTGAGCTGCTGGGATTCCTGGATTGTCACTAGCTATATAAATGATTCAGATCACACACAGGAGTCCAGCATTGCTATTTTGATTCACAGGCTGTTGCAGCTCTTTTAACAAGCTGTGGAGACTGCCTGATTTGTGTGACAAATAAGGAAAAGGCTATTTGATTTTTAAAAAAATGTTTTTATTTTTTTGTCAGACAATTTACACACAAGTATCCCACAAACAGCCAACAAGCGAATTACCAATTTTTAATTGAATGATTGTTTGGCTGAATTACATTCTGATCAGACATTATCAATACAATTCTCTGATCCTCTGATCTCGCACCACATGTTTTGTTGAGCCACATGTTAATTTCTAACCATAATTAAAACCAAATTGATCACTCTGTTAATTTTTTTTCTCCTGCACCAATTGTAAAATAATCATAATACATCATAATACAAATAATATGATTTGACATAGCATTTGTCATAGCACCCAATCACATTGTCGAGATGAATCAAATCACTTTACAGGATATGCTGTGTAAGTGGTCTGACTGTGATTTGTGGGCGAATGTGGCAGCCAACTTACACACAATTTGTCCGCAGTTTATCAATTGGAACTTCTGATGCCCTTCAGCCCTGAATCCCCACTTACCAATCTTTGTGTGCAGTTGTCTCCTGATCATGTCTAGATCATTGATGTTGAATGATTTTCACCACCTTCCCGAGCACCAACAACAACAAGATTACATTTGTATAGCGCCTTTCACATCGGGAGGACGTCCCAATTGTGTGTGGATGCGACTGGAGAGAAGACAGTTGGGTGATGGTGTGTGGTTTGCCCAAGGATTTGTAAATTACGGTTTTTGCAGGTCATATTGCAGGTTGTTGGTTGGGGGTCACTTGTGTGAGTGGCGGGGGGGTGGGTGGGGGTGATTACTCCAACTTGCAGATATGCCTGAAAAGACATATTCACAAATCCTGTCATGAATAACGCACATGAAGTGATGTGGGAGGCCCGTAGCGTAGTAGCACTTGCCTCGCAAGAGAGAAGACCTGGGTTCGATTCCCTGGCAGTATGAAACCTCAGACAAGTTTCCTCACTCCACACTCCTCTGTTTACCTACCAGTAAGTCGGAACCCAACTGTTAGCTGATTGGCAGATCGCTTTCCGGGGTAATAAACCCCCCCCAAAAGCAATTTCACTCAATCAGGACTGTTTGTGGGACACTGCTGTTCACAATTGGCTGCCACGTATTATCCACAAAATACACAGTCAATCCACTTTGCAGTATATTCTGTGAAGAGCTTTGAGACATCTCAACAACATGATAACACTCCATATGAAATGCAAGGATTATTATTTTTATTATTAATATTATTGCATGCAGTTTCCTCCATTTGTGAGATGTTCAGTGATTATAATGTGATTTCCCTCCTCATATCTCAAATATCGAAATATCTCAAATTTAACCTTGTCCCTTTCCTCTTTGCATTGAACAGAGAAACGAAGGGGATTTGTTCCACAGGCTGTGGCACGTGATGAATGAGCTGCTTGACCTTCGGAGGCAGGTGCTTGTTGGACATCTCACACGTGACAGGATGAAGGATGTGAAACGTCACATCACCGCGCGCCTGGACTGGGGCAATGAGCAAGTATCTTTCCCGTCACGTCTATGTTTTGTCTCTCTCTCTCTGTCTCTCTCGCTCCGCTGCAGCTTTAATATTCTCCACAGGTTTAGAATCGAACACTGTAGAATGCATGTCATTTGCACTGTATTACTGCATATGGGGTGACGTGAACGGAAGTAGAAAAACAGTTGGGTGAATTGATGTCCATACCAACTCAGTGGCACATCAAACAACCTTGATGCACCGCCATCATTTAATAATAGTAATAAAAATAATCCTTACATTTGATTCAGTGCCTTATCGTGCCAATGAGACGTTTCAAAGTGCTTCACATACACTGTAAATTGGATTGACTGTATATTTTGTGAGCGAAATGTGGCAGCCAATTTGCGCACAGCAATGTCCCACAAACAGAATGGGCAATTTTTTAATTGGGGATTTGTTGGCCAGGAAACCGAGAGAGAAACTCCCTTCTCTTTTTGAATTGTGCCATTAACATCCACCTGAACAGACAGACGTTTAATCTGAAGGATGGCACCTCTGAAATGCAAGCCCCTCCCCCCCCCCCCCCCCCCGTCCAGCACTGCATTGGAGTGTCAGATTAGTTTATGCAATTGCAAGTCCCACCGTAGGGCTTGAGCCCACAACCATCTGACTCAGATGCGAGTGTTACCACTGCCAGGCTGACGGAAATGGAAGAATGATAGTCTGCCATTGCTTTGTACGAGCTGTGCGATCTTGGGTTCCTCTAAACTGCAATCAATACTCTGAGATGCTCTGGCCAGGTGCAATTACAGGTTCCAAAGTTTGTAGAGGTTTCGTGTCAATTGAAAGGTTTCTCGGCTCTGCTGGCTCGATCCACATCGGATCAAATCTGAGATCATCACAATCTCATTCAAATCCCTCCACAGCTGCATCTCTGCCATCTGACTGCCCAGCCGCTCCCTCTGCTTAGGGAACACTGTCTTGCGTCCTGTCCTCCGTCTGATCCAGGAGCTCCCCCCAACATTGTACTCCCGTCATTTGACCTGTTTAATTTTAAATCTTAATTTTAATGTTACCACGCGCCTCTGTTAACCTAGCAGTAATTAGGAACCAGGTTGTTAGTCGATTGGCGAAACGATTTCCTGGGTAATAATCCATGACTGTTTGTGGGACACTGCTGAGTGATCCACATTTGCCATGTTTGCAAACATGGGCTGATGCTTTTCACCCCAAAATACACAGTCAATCCACTTTACAATACATTCTGTGAGGTGCTTTGAAGTGTCTGGATGACGTATAAGGCACTTTATCAAATGCAAGGATTGTTATTGTTATGATTATGCCAGCTATCTCTGATTGTTGGCTAATTTCTCACTCCTGCTTCACCATCCTGTTTCACATCTACCACCCCAACTTCAGAGGTTGGATTTTCAGCGTTTCTGCCCCCACTCTCTGGAATTCCATCCAAGATTCCCTTTGACTCAAGTTTAGAATGTTGAGGAGTGATCTGATTGAGATGTTTAAAACAATAAAGGGATTTGATAGGGAAGATACAGAGAAACTAGTTCCTCTGGTGGGGAATCGAGAACAAGGGACATCATCTTAAAATTAGCACTAGGCCATTTAGGACTGAAATTAGGAAGCAGTTTTTCACACAAAGGGTAGTGTAAATCTAGAACTCTCTGCCCCAAAAGGCTGTGGTTGCTGGATCGATTGAAATTTTCAAGATTTTGGACAACAATGCACCAAATTTTAAATGGATATGGAGCAAAGGCAGATAAATGGACTTAAGGTACAGCCTTGATCTAACAGAATGGCGGAACAGGTTGAAAGAGCTGAAAGGCCTATTCGAGTTTAGAAGGTTGACTCAAATTTAGAAGGTTGAGGAATAATCTGATTGAGGTGTTTAAAACAATAAACATCTATGACTCGCCCCTCCCTTGCCTCCTTCAAGGTCCACCACAAGACCTTTTTGACTGCGTTTTCAGCCATCTTTCCCCTCTCCTCACCCCCCTTGCCCCTTCACACCCCTCCCCACACCCCTCTTGCTCCTGATACTCCTCCCCGCCCCAGCTCGGGTGCAAATCTTAGATTGTCCAGCATCTTGGGAAGCCCTCCCAATGTAAAAGGTGCTATATAAATGTATATTTGTATTGTTTTCCATCTCCTTGATCTTGGACACTTGCTGAAAGGAATTACAACAGCAACAACAACAAAATTACATTTGTATAGTCCCTTTCAGGACTTTAGGAGGTCCCAAGACGCTGAAATTGAATCAATACTCGAAGATATGACGGAAGAGAAAGGAAATGGGATTGGAGTGGTGGATAGAATAGGGGCTAGCACAGTGCACAAATATACAAATATTCGCCCACAAATATACAGTCAATTCACTTTACTGCATATACTGTGAAGCGCTTTGAGACGTCTAGAAGACATGAAAAGCGCTATATCAAGTGCAAGGAATATTATTATTATTATTGCAGGCATGATAAACCAAATAATCTTGATTTAAAATATCTTCAACTAAACTGGCTCTTTTTGTGCAGGTTATTCTGTCTCTGTAATTCTGTTCAGTGCAATGCTCCATTGGCATTTGCTTGGTTCAGTTGACAGCACTCTAACCTCTGAGTCAGTTGTGGGTTGGAGGCCATTGCTGGAACAATTCAGACTCCCCTTTTGACGTTCATTCATATGAGACATTAAACCAGGCTCTCATCTGCCTGTTCAAGTGGATGTTAAAGATCCCATGGCAGTATGTGAAAAGAGAAGGGAGTTTCTCTTTCCCAGTGTCCTGGCCAACAATCTACCGAATAAAATTGATCATTCACTTTATTTCTATTTGTGGGACATTGCTGTGTGCAAATTGGCTGCTCTCTTTGCCTCCAGACTACACAGTCACTACACTTTACAGTAAATCCTATGAAGCACTTTGAGACATAATCCTTATGTGAAAGGTGTTGTATAAAAAAGTAAGGACTTTGTTGTTGTATTTTATATATATATAGTTATCTATATATTTGTTTTGAAATCCATGGTTTAATTTAAAAAAGGACTGTTTTTGATGCCCCTTAGATGTGTTTAACCTACAACAGCAATTGTGTATGTTTCACAATTATTTGGGGGCTGGGATTGGCTGTCGCTAAGGGTGCGGATGGGGAATCAGCTGCAAGTGTGTTCCTGCTTCCTGTCCCGGCCCTTCACTTGCTGTTTGGCATTGTCATCCTTAGCTGGTCAGTCTCCAGCAGTTATCCCAGCACACACTCTGGGGTCTCCAGGTCTTGACTCTTGCCAACCTGCGCTTAATACTTTCCAGAATTAGGTAAGCAAGATGTGTCTCTCCAGGAAAAAAGTGCATTCCATTCCAACAATCTATCCATAGGGAGTCCTGAAGCGTATTGGTTGGAGCACTTGCCTTGCAAGCGAGAGGACCCGGGTTTGATTCCCAGGTGGGGCAAGTTTCCTTACTCCACGTGCCTCTGTTTATCTAGCAGTAAGTAGGAACTCATTTGTTAGTCGATTAGTGGATTCCTTTCTGGGGGTAAGAATCCCTCAAAAAAAGAAAAACATTTTGGTTATTCAATCCACGACTGTTTGCGGGACACTGTCGTGCGCAATTGGCTTCTGCATTTTGCCCACAGTCAATTCACTTTACTATCCTGTGAAGTGCTTTGAAACTTCTTAATGATGTGATAAGGTGCTATATCAAATGCAAGGATTATTTTTATTTTTATCTCTGGAATTTCCATGAGCAGGTAGGACATATGGAACTCTCAGTTTGGTTTGGATACTCAAGCATGGTGATTTGTTTAGTCACGCTGACCAAAAAAAAAGCATGGTCATCCTCAACACAAGTTGAAAATGCTTTCAAGGAATGTTTTACTAGAATGCGATTCCAGCCCAGGCCAGCGCTGTGTTGGCAGACTTGGTGGGTTGCCAGCTTATTGAGTTTTTTGCTGTTATGAAAGTCAGACTGCATGTTGTTGTCAAATGCACATCAAATGCAGCGAGTGCAAGTCACTGGGCGAGCTAGGAAAAATAAAGGGACTTCCCAATCCAGTGCCTTCCACCAAGCCAACGAGCAAAACACTGCAGTTTCACTATTCTTTTTTAAAATTTTATTGATGTAGCTTAACCCATTCGTCGTCATTGCCATAGAAACCAGACCAATTTCTCCCCTTCCCCAATTGACCAGATGAATGAAAGTTGACTGTGCTGCTTAATACTCAGGAGGAATGAAGCCCCATCAGACGCCGTTTTTTGTTTCAAGCATTTTGGCCGTGTGAATTTCCGCTCATTTGAAATTCAGAAGCATTCAATACCCCAACCATTCCGAAGGCTTCAACACAAAAGCAGAGCTCCAATATCCAGCGGTTACACCACAGCTGGAGAAGTAAATTAATGCAAAATGTTAACGGGGAAATTTGTAAGTACAGAAAAAAGAATAAACCACGAGTGCATTTCTGTAACCAGCTCTGTCACTAAGCTGATTAAGATAGAGATGCATTCAATCCCACGATGCCATTAAAAGCTTCCCTTTTGACACTTTTGACATCTCACGCAACGATGCAGGAAATTAGCAATAAGTTGTGAGTGAACGGTTTGCTCCCCCCTCCTCCGCCCCCATCTTCCTGTGGCCAAGTTGTGTGTTCACAAATAGACACTGCTTCGTTGCGCTTTGTGTCCTTGGCCAGTTTTTTTTATTTTCATTCTCCAGCAGGCTTCAAGCAGTTCGTTGTTTGATTCTGTCATTTGTGTATTGTGTGTGCAATTCCAGTTCTTTCTGGGCACTAGGGAAGTTTCACTTGTTGGGAGACAGTGCGGGTGGAGGAGTGAGAGATTTGGGGGCAGGAGGGAGAAGGGGAAAGCTTCCATATGCTAAGTGTATGGCCCTGCATGAATTTCTATTTTAAAAGTGATTTTGAAGTCCCGTCTCACAGAGGTTCGCACGCTCGCAAACGAGAGGACACAGGTTCGATTCCTGGGTGGGGTGAAATCTTAGGCAAGTTTTCCACACACCTCTATTTACCTGGATGAGGGGAAATTTCCTACAGTTGAATGTGAACAAGACTGAGGCCCTCCTGATGGGCTTGTGCCAGCGCCTCAGTATCTCAGGCTCTGGCAGCATCAACCTCCATGGTTGCACACTACAACTCACCGAGCCAGTCAGGAACCTGGGTGTCTTGTTCGGCCTTCAACTGTCTTTTCTTCCCCACATCCAAGCCATGACCCGCTCTGCCTTCCCTCACCTCCGTAACATCGCCCGAGTCCACCACTACCTCAACCTTCAGGCCACTGAAACTCTTGTTCATGCTTTCATCTCCTCCAGGTTCGACTGTGCAAACGCACTGCTTGTCGGCCTTCCCAACTCCTCCCTCCATAGGCTGCAGATAATCCAGAACTCTGCAGTCCATGTCCTCTCCCGCACCAAACTCCGTGACCTTATCTCCCCCATTCTTGCCCGACTCCATTGGCTCCCTATCTTTCAGAGGATCCAGTTCAAGATCCTGGTTCTCACCTACAAAGCCCTCCATGGCCTCACCCCACCCTACCTCTGCGACCTCCTAACCCCCTACCAACCCGCCCGCTCCCTCCGCTCTGGCCTGCTCCACGTCCCCTGACCCACCCGCCCCACCATTGGCGGGAGAGCCTTCAGCCACTCTGCCCCCAACCTCTGGACTTTCATCTCCCAATCACTCCGCCTCGCCCCCTCCTTAGCCTCTTTCAAGTTCGGCCTCAAGACCCTCCTCTTCGACCATGCCATTAGTCTCCCCCCTTCCCCTCCCCCCCGACCCCAGCTCAGGTCTGAAATGCTGTACTCTGTCCAGCGCCTTGGGACATCCTCCAGACGTGAAAGGCGTTATACAAATGTAATCTTGTTGTTGTTGTACCTAGCAGAAAGTAGGAACCCAATTGTTAGTCATTTGACGGATCGCTTTCTGGGGGTAATATTCCCACCAAAAAAAAAATCGAGAGTTTGTTTGTCTGTCTGCAATTGGCTGCTGCGTTTCGCCCACAAAATACACAGTCAGTCCACTTTACAATATATTCTGTGAAGCGTTTTGAGTTGACTCAATGGCATAATAAGGTGCTATGTCAAATGCAAGAATTATTGTTATTATTGTTTTTAGTTGTCAGCAGCACAGTTCCGCAGGGGTCTGTTTTGGGACCTCTTTTATTTAATATCTTCATAAAGACCTGGAGCAGCGCCTTTGGACGTCCTCCCAATGTGAAAGGCGCTATACAAATGTAATTTTGTTGTTGTTGGAGCTAGGACAGTGGCTGCATTCGCAGATGACACAAAGCTAATGAAGGTGGTAGACTGCAAAGATAGATTACAGGAGGACTTGAACGTTTTTGGAAATTGTGCTGATTGATGGCAGATGAAATTCATTATTTGCATTGGTTCAAAAAGTTTAGGAAGGGACTATTATTTAAATGGAAAGAAAATAATCTGTTCGGAAAATGAAAAGAACTTAGGGTTCCCGATTGACAATAAATTAAAGCTATCGCAACAGTGCTCAGTAGCAGTGAGTAAGGCAAACCAGAGGTTAGGTTAGAGCAATATTGAGCCGAAGTAGTGGGGTAATCCTGCCACTTTACAAATCATTGGTGTGACCACAGTTGGAATACTGTTGCAGTTCTGGTCACCGCAATATAAAATGGATTTTGCAGCAATTGAGAGGGTACAGAGGAGGGCAACCAAAATGATTGTGAGGATGGAGGGACTGGACTATGAGAAGCGATTAAGTAAACTGGACATGTTCACACTGGAGAGGAGAAGGTTGATAGGCGATATGATTGCAGTCTTTGAGGTTCTGAAGGGATTAGGTGGAGTCAGGGGAAAAATAGCAGAACGGATAGCAAGCTGGCTGCAAAACAGAAAACAGAGAGTAGCAGGAAAGAGTAGCTACTCAGACTGGCAAGGGGTGGGCAGTGGTGTTCCACAAGGATCGGTATTGGGACCACTGTTGTTCACAATATACATTAATGATTTGGATTTGGGAATCAGCAGTTCAATTTCAAAATTTGCAGAGACACTAAATTGGGTGGAGTTGTTAATTCAGAGGAGGACGACAACATATTACAGCAAGACATTAATAAACTTGCTGAGTGGGTATTTAAATGGCAAATGCATTTCAATGTAGAAAAGTGTGAGGTGGTACATTTTGGTAGAAGGAATAAGGAAGTCACATACATCCTGGGAAATGGAAACCTAAATGGGGTACAGGAGCAAAGGGACCTAAGGGACACATACGCAATTCACTAAAAGTAGCAATGCAGGTTAATAAGGCCATAAAAAAGCAAACCAGGCAGGGAAGTTAGAAGAAATTTCTTCACACAGAGAGTAGTGGGAATGTGGAACACGGAGTTGTTGAGGCAAATAGCATGGATGTATTTAAGGGAAAGCTAGATGATAGATAGTACATGAGGGAGAAAGGAATAGAAGGTTATACTTGAAGGCTTAGTTGAGGAAGGGCAGGAGAAGGCTCATGTGGAGCATAAACACCGGCATAGACCAGTTGGGCTGAATGGCCTGTTTCTCTGCTGTATATTCTAATGTATTCTAGATAATGTAGACCATGGTAAGCTGTTTTATTTTGTACTGAACAGTAGAACCAGAGGACATGGTCTGCGATTGAAGGGGGGTAAATTCAGAACAAATCTGCAGAAACACTACTTCAGTGAGAGAGTACTAAACTTATAGAACAGACGGTGGAAGCAGAAGATATTGTTTGTTTCAAGAACAAATTAGATAGATTTCTGCCGGAAAATAATATCTCGGGATACAACATATAGTTTGGGACATGGCATGTCAAGCGACTGCCAGGATGGTGGATGGTGAATTACATGGAATTTCATAGAATTATACAGCACAGAAGGAAAGAAGCAAATTCTTATGTCCATATGTTTTAAAAGCCCTTGAAGTGAATGACCAATTTTATCTGGGTTTGCTGTAATTTTTCTATCAAACTGCATGCTTTCCTCGTGGGCATATTTCAGAGTTCGACTTGTCTCACCACTTGGTGCTTTGAATTCTGTAGCCAGCATTAACTAGATTCCTTATTCAAGAGTAAATATTCACCAGAATGATACCAGGGGTAAAAGAGTTAAATTATGGGGACAGGTTGCATAAACTTGGTCTCTCTTGCCTTGAGTTTAGATGGGTGAACTGATTGAGGTGTTTAAATTGATGAAGGGATTTGATAGGGTAGATACAGAGAAACTATTTCCTCTGGTGGGGAATCCAGAACATGGGACATAGTTTCAAATTAGAGCTGGGACATTTAGGAGTGAAATCAGGAAGAACATTTTCATACAAGGAGTCGTGGAAATTTGGAACTCTCTCACCCAAAAGGCTGTGGATGCTGGATCAATTGAGATTTTCAAGACTGAGGTGGATACCTTTTTGTTAGGTTGGGGTATCAAGTGATATGGAGCAAAGGCGGGTAAATGGATTTGAGGTACAGATCTAATAGAATGGCGGAACAGGCTGAAGGAGCTGAAAGGCCTACTCCTGTTCCTATGACTCAAACCTTCCCTTGCCTCCTTCAAGGTCCACCACGGGACCTCTTTGACCTCGTTTTCAGCCATCTTTCCCTTCCCTCGCCCCTTCACCCCCCTGGCCCTTGTGAGGGTATCAAGGGATATGCAGCAAAGGCGGGTAAATAGAGTTGAGGTAGAGATCAGCCATGATAAATATATGGCGGAACAGGCTCGAGGGGCTGAATGGTCTACTCCTGATTCTATGTTCCTATGTTCTTTCAGTGTCTAACAACATGTTCCTTTTTCCCTTTGCCAAATAGGCAGCTGGGTCTGGATTTGGTTCCGAGGAAAGAGTTCAGTATGGTGGATCCTGACGAGATCAGCGTCACAGAACTATACAAATTGGTGAGCAATGACGAATGAAACATACCTTTGCTTCCTGTAATAATAATAATAATCCTTAAAATTGATATAACGTTGTTGAGTTGTCTCGAAGCACTTCACAGGATATACTGTAAAATGGATTGGCTGTGTATTTTATGGGCGAAACGCGGCAGCCAATTGCACACAAGCATGTCCCACAAACAGCCATGGATTGAGTGATCAAATTGTGTTTTTTTGAGGGATTATTCCCCCCGGAATGCCATCTGCCAATCGACTAACAGCTGGGTTCCCACTTACTGCTAGGTAAATAGAGGCGTGTGGAGTAAGGAAACTGCCGTGCCTGGGAATCAAACCTGGGTCCCCTTGCTTGCAAGGCAAACGCGCTAACCACTACACTACTGAACTCTATGGAAATACAAACCACCCGCTGTAAAAAGCTGAGGCGTTGGCATGGAAACGGGAAGCCAGCATTTTGTTCAGTGCATGATATCAAAAATTTTTGCATGCTGATTTATTCGGAGTTGCTGAAGATGATTTAAACATTTTCTCATTTTACGGAACATAAATCCGTTCTGATTGTTTTCCAATACAGTACCAAATAGTTTACATGTATACAGCACCTTTCAGGCTGGAACAATGTCTCAAAGCTATCTTAAATTGATGCATAGCCGTTTTTGGTGACGTGGATTGGAACTTCATATTCGCTCAGTTCCACGTGTATCAGATTATGGGCGAGGTATATAATTCAGCATTTTAGATCATTGAATAAAGGAAGATGCATCAACAGGCAGAATCTGACAAATTTAATCTCTCGGTTAATATTCTTAAAGCTTCCACTTACGGTTGAATTCCCCAGTGTCCCGAAACTGCTCCAGTAAAATGTATCTTGGGGTGGGTGCCTTGAGTTAAGAATTGGTCCTCAAGAGCTTTGTACATAATACATTGGGATGGACCCCGCTAAAACTCATTCGTTAACTTCAATCCAGTGCTTCAATTCCAATTTAGTGGCCAAGGAGCCCAGGTGTGGATTTGGCAGTGTTGAAGTTAATTTGTGTGAATTGGGAAATTGTGTTAGCTACAGCTTGTTAGGACTGAATTAGCCTCTCATCAGGAGTGGAGCTGTCACCCACCTGTTGCTGCCGTCACATCAAAACTTAATAATAATAATCCGGGTATTTGATACACCGGCTTTCACGTCATCAAGGTGTCTGAAAATGCTTCACAGGATTTACTGTAAAGTGTTTTTTGACTATATTTTGTGGGCAAAACTCAGAAAGTTTGTGCATAGTACAAATAACCAATTTTATATGGGGCATAGTTAGCCAGGACATCAGGAGAGAGAACCTCTCCCCAGTGCTGCATTGGAGTGTCAGCTTAGACTGTGTGATTCCAAATGTTGATGTGGGACTTGAACCCACAACCTCTGATTCAGAGGCGAGAGTGTTACCACTGAGTCAGGCTGACATACACCCACGATTCAACGTCTTATTTGAAGGGAAGTACCTCTGACAATGCAGCACTCCTCCAGAACTGGGCAAGTATCAGTCTAGAATGTGAATTCCAAATTGCAACTTGGGGCTTGAACCCAGAGCCTTCAACAACAATAACAACAAAATTACATTTGTATAGTGCCTTTTATGTGGGGAGGACGTCGCAAGGCGTTGGACAGACAGTGTTTCGTACCCGAGCTGGGGGTCGGGATTGGGGAGGGTGGAGGGTCAGGGGGGAAGCAGGGTGATCGAAAGCACGGTTGAAGAGGAGCGTCTTGAGATGGGTCTTGAAGAGGGCAAAGAAGGGGGGGGCAAGGCAGAGGGACTGCGGGATGGAGTTCCAGAAGATAGGGGCAGAGCGGCTGAAGACTCGCTTGCCAATGGGGGGGCGTGTGCGTCAGGAGACATGAAGCAGGCCGGAGCCCGCTGAGCAGAGGGAGCAGGCAGGTTGTTAGGGTTTAGGAGGTCGCAAAGGTAGGGGGGAGCAAGGCCATGGAGGGCTTTGAAGGTGAGGACCAGGATCTTGAACTGTATCCTCTGTGTGATGGGAAGCCAGGGAAGACTCTGAGGTGAGGAGGAGCGGGGGTGTCTAATTCCTGAATGAATAATCACACTGTTGAAAGGTGTGGCTGTCATGGATTTTTCAGACGCCACGGTAACAGTGCGGCCTGCTCCTCTGGAGAGACATGCCTGCTTTTCTGCACCAGTGAACCAGCTGATCAATTTGTTCAGATGGTCCTGACCTGTTTGAGCGTCTCATACAGTACAGCTGTGACTGCATCTTGTGCATTTCTGCCGCATTTGACCTGGTTCTTTTGCAAGTACCACCTCCCCCCGCCACCTCCCAGAGTTCTTTAATATTGCATTGAAGCTCCACTTGCTTTGTGGAGTCCCCTAGCGCAAGTGAGAGGACCCGGGTTTGATTCCCAGGCAGGGCAAAAGCTTTTGCAAGTTTCTTTACTCTACACGCCTGTTTACCTAGCAGTAACTAGGAACCCGGTTGTTAGTTGATTCGTAAATCACTTCCTGGGCGTAATAATTCCTCCAAAAAACTAATAACAGTTTGGTCACTCAATCCATGACTGTTTATGGGACACTGCTGTGTGCAATTGGCTGCCGTGTTTCACCCACAAATACACAGTCAATCCACGTTATAATATATTCTGTGAGGTGCTTTGAGATGTCTCAATGATGTGATAAGGCACTACATCAAATACAGGAATTATTATTATTACACATGGAAATTCCAGAGATAGATTATTGGAATGGAATGCACATTCTCTCCTTGGAGGGACACATCCTGCTTACCTATTCTGGAAAATATTAGGTGTAGGTTGTCAAGAGCCAAGGCTTGGGGATCCCTAGAGTGCGCATTGGGGTAACTGCTGGCGTCTAACTAGCTAAAACCGCATAGCTTATTATTGATAGCACTGTCTGGCAAACTTCTGAATGGAACAAGCTGCACCAGGATGTTGTGTGTTCGGTGGCTGAAGCTCTGGTGTGGTTTGACTTGGTTTGTGTTGATTACATGCAGATGGAGCACAAGCATCGGAAGAAAGACACGCCCGTGCCAACCAGTACACACCACCTCTTCCTGCAGATGAAAAGCTTGATGTGCGCTAACCTTGGCGAGGAGCTGGAGGTGTTCTTCTCCATTTATGACAGCAGAGAGTACAGCCCCATCAGGTGGGTTGTTATCACTCATTGTTATCACTCACTATCAAGTAGCGTGTTTGGTGCAAGGTGAGGAGGTGAAGAGCTCTGAGATGCTTCCCCGTGCGAAGGAAGGGCTCAATATCAATGGAAATTGTTGCTGGTATCTTTGTCCCTTGTCCCCTGCGCTCCATCACTGGTGGCCGTGCTTTCAGCCACTAAGCCACGAAGCTTTGGAACGCTCTCCGTCAATCCCTCCGCCTTGTCCCCTAGTTTAGATCATGACTGAAAACCTTCCCCTTCGGCCGTGCTTACGGTCACCTCCTCCTGCCTCCCCGGCATCAGACTCTGCCACTGTTTAGCTCCGAAACGCTGCTCCAAGTTAAGGGCACTGTATTGTTCTTATCTGAAGCGTGGCCTGAAGCTAGAGACACTGGCTGTAACGTATTAGTGCTGGAGGTGCCGTTTTTAAAAACATGACAAGTTATTGATCGGGTGAACTGGAAAGTGCTGATCTGACTTTTAATTGAAACCTTAATTAAGTGATATTGCATTTCCAGATGGATTGGCTCTGCATTTGGGTTGCATTATGAATGTGGGTCAATGGATACACTTCACTTCACTGTGTGTAATTGATGTTAAAGTACAGAATCACATAGTGTAGTGCTTAGTGCGTTCGTCTCACAAATGAGAGGAACCAGGTTCGATTCCCGGATGGGGCAAAACGTTTGCCAATATCGTTACTCCACACACCTCTGTTTACCTATCAGTAAGCAGGAATCCAGGTTGTTAGTTGATTGGCGGATTGCTTTTGTGGGGGGGTAATAATCCCACCAAAATTTAAAAAAAAATTAGGTTACTCAATCCACGACAGTTTGTGGGACACTACTGTGCACAAATGGCTGCCGTGTTTCGCCCACAAAATACACAGTCTTTATGATATATATTCTGTGAAGCACTTTGAGACGTCTCAATTACATGAATAGGGGCAATATCAAATCCAAGGATTATTTTATAATAACAATTTGCATTTATATAGCGTCCTTCACACAGGGTAGAGTCCCCAAAATGCTTAACAGTGGCGGAGCACGATGCCAAGCCGGGGGAAGGGGAGAGGTAACTGTAGGCCTGGTCGAAAAGGAAGGTCTTCAGATGTGACGATGGGGAAGGAATCGTCAAGGGAAGGTGAAGTGATAGAGGAAGAGTTTCGAGGCATAGTGTTGAAAGCGCGGTCACTGATGGTGGAATGAAGGACACGAGGGACATACAGGAGGCTGGCGCCAGTCAAGCAGAGGCAGTGAGTAGTGGGTTGGGGAGTAAGCTGGCTAGAGAAGTAGGTGCCAGCGCATGAAGGGATTGGAAAACGAGTATGAGAATCTTGAAATTGTTCAATCGGCCATAGGAAACCAGGGAGCCTGGCTCGAACTGATGTGATGGGTTTATGGAGTTTAGTATGGTTGAGCATGCGGGTGACAGAGTAGGGTAGGAAGAACAGCTATGGGTTGAACCGGATGCCTTTGGTTGTGCACCGGTTCGGTGAGTCTGAGGGATAGGCCAGGGAGGTTGAGGAGCTCTGAGCCGCAGGACAGAAGACGTTGACGGGAGCCAAACAGTATTATTATTATTAAATGTACATGGTATTTCCCCTTTCCACATCCCCCAATTCAGATACCCCACATTCGCTTTTCTTATAGCTCAGAAACCATGACATTTTGGCAATTGACGTCACAAAGTATCCAACTTTAGCTGTTGAGTTATTCTAATCCTCCTACAGTCGTCGATCTAATTTGCATCTTCACTCTGGGTTTTAACCAGGTTGCAGGTGAGATTAGTGGAAGAATTCACTGAGCAAACATTGGAGAACAGAAAGTTATTAAGAAGGAATTAAGTTGCTGGTTGCACGCGTGAAGATTTTATGATTGAAATTTGAGAAGCGGAACAACGTTCAGGCACAAATTGTTGTAAAACGTACCTTTTCTAAGATTTTCTCTTTGGATACTCTGCATAAAATTCCAGACTGTGAAGGAACATTCGTTTTAACTACTCTTATTTGTAGAATAATTGTCTTTGCATTTCATATTTGTGAAGTCCTGTAGTGTAGTGGTTCTCAGGAGTGAAGGCACTGGGGCACCAGAAACTTCATTTTATAGCGGAGGGCACTGGTTATAGCGGATTCCACAGAAAGAATTGAGGCCATCCTTTCCTGCTGGCCCAGCCAATGACCTTGGTGCTGTCAGCTGCTGTTTCCAGGGGTATGCGTCCTGGGCTGCAGTATTGCAGTCTCACGCTGCTTTCCCTTTCTTGGCGGCCAGCTCTACCTTCTGTTTCAGACAGAGTGACAGACTTGCTCACAGGAAGCACTGCTTGGAATCCCACTGCATGACTGAGTGATAGCTCTGTAGCCGAATATCCACCACCACCCGCTCTAAACTCCATACCACTGTCCTCGCCAGGCACACTGGGATCTTCACACTCTTCTACAAAACTCTTTATACTCGGGTACCTCCCTATCTCTTAGACCAGCTTACTCCCCACTTTACTACCCGCCGCCTACACTCTGCTAGCTCCTGCCTCCTGCTTGTACCTTGTCCCCTCTGCTCCATCAACGGCAGTCATGCTTTCAGCCACTATGCCCCAAAGCTTTGGAACTCTCTCCCTCAATCCCTCCGCCTTGCCCCTTCTCCCAATCTTCAGATCATACCTGAAGGAATCGTGTTCCACAAGGAATCATGTGTGGGGTGAGTTTGTGTGTGTGTGTTTGGTGGGGGGTGTGGAACAAGGAAATAAAAGATAAGTATCTCGCTCAAATTTCCATTCATATATGTGAGAGAGAGAGATAGATAAGTTCTTTCTCTGACTTTGCAGGCTGGATGAGAACTGGGAAATGCAAATCCTTTGATCCGCATGTTTTTGTTCAACCAGTTGTCTGATACGTGCAGATTCCCATCCCCATGCTTAAGAGGATCCAAATTAAACTGAGAATTCCATGCATCCCACCTACACATGGAAATCGCAGAGATAGATTGTTGGAATGGAACGTGAGTGCTCTGTGATGCAGGATGCCACCGCGCCATGGTCAGCCAGTGCGGCCACCAAGTGTAATTGCAGTGCATGTGTACATATGTAGGTGCTCTTTGACGCATGATGCCTCAGTGCCACTTTGACTGGGCGGCCACCAGGTGTAACTGCAGCGAAAAATGCAAAACTGAAAATAACTCATGAACGATAGGAGATACCTGAAAACAAATATGCCCACGTCACTCCCAGGAATGTTGAGGTATAAATCATGGTGTAAATAAGTTATTGAGATCCTTCTTGAAGCACAGACAGACATTGTTGTTTTATTAGTATAGAAGATGTTTGAAAAAAGACGGCAAAACCTCTGGAATCTGAAGCATCTTGGACACTTTTTAATTGCGCTAAATTGTGCATGTGGACAAAGCTATTTTTAGCACATGCTTCTGATAAACTGTTCTCCAGATCATTTCCACTTTGTGTGTGTGTATGTGTAGCAGGGACTAAATAATAATAATCCTTGTATTTGATATAACGCCTTATCATGTCATAATGTAAAGAGTAAAGACTGTGTATTTTGTGGGCGAAACACGGCAGCCAATGGTAGAACTCTCACCTCTGAGTCAGATGTTTGTGCGGTCAAGCCCCATGTCAGGTGTTGGAATCGCATAGTCTAAGCTAACACTCCAGCCCAATGCTGGGGTGCGTTCCTTTGTCGTACTTCAGATGAGAAGTTAAACTGAGGTCCCGTTTGCCCTATTCAGGTGAACGTTAAAGATCCCATGGTCCTATTTGAAAAGAGAAGGGAGTTTCTCTCTCTCAATGTCCTGGCCAACAATCCCCCCAAATAAAATTGGTCACTCATTCCATGACTGTCTGTGGGACATTGCTGTGCACAACTGACTGCCACATTTGCCCACAAAATACACAGTCACTCCACTTTACAGTGTATCCTGTGAAGCACTTTGAAACGTCTTGATAACGTGATAAGCGCTGTATCAAATGCAAAGATTATCATCGGATTAATATTATGGGATCTTTAATGTCCGTCTGAACAGGCAGATGGAACATCAGTTTCTTTGTCCTTTGTCCTCCAAGCTCCAACAAACAGAAAAAGATGATGGAAACTGCAGTGTTTTATACCAGAAATCTGAGCGTCCATTAGCCATTTCCTCAGGCATAACAAACAAGCCATCACCCCATCCCTCATCAAACTCCACACATGATCACTCCATTCCTCGCAAAACTCTACAGTGAAAGGAGAGCTGAAAGGCACACAAATGACACATTTGATTAGTAAGAAGGGAGTGGGGGGGGAGAGAGGTTTAACATTTTAAATGGAAATTCCAAATGGTTAACACAGCAAAAGTGTGCACTGTGACTTAGAGATAATGACTGTGGTGAATGGAAAATTGAAGGCAAAACGGAACCGTGTGGCAGACAGCTTCTGCCATCTGTTAATCTTCAATTGGTCTGGGTGTGTATCAACTGGTTTTAATTATCCTGTGCAAACTCAATTTTTGGATCGGAATGGAGCTATTGGGAATATTCTGAGCAGAAAGATGCCTTCACAATAACCACCTCACTAGAAGAAACTTACTACACGTGATAATACACGTGATAGTATGGTGACTGTGTATTTTGTAAACATACGTCTCTCTCTTCTCCATACATCATCTTTGTGGAGTGAGGTAACTTGCCTATGGTTTCATCCTGCGCACGGAGTTCAACCTGGATCATCTCACTTGTAAGGCGAACACGAACATAACTCCAAAGTCCTATAGTGTAGTGGTTAGCGCTTTCACCTCGCAAGTGAGAGGACCTGGATTTGATCATGGTTGTAAAGGAGGAAATGCGGGGCTTTGACGTGTTAACAATTTTAGCCACAAATTAAATGAAGCAAGAATTCAAAATGATTACAACAAACATAGAAACCATTTGCAGCAAATTGTTCAAATAGAACCACACTTTTTCAATCCTACCTTTTAAGTCTTTTGCACATCTGGATACTTGCTCTCCCATTGAAGTCCACCAATTGATCTAAACATCTGGCTCTCCATGCACAGTATGCAGAGATTACAGTGGGGATTAAACTGATAGGACTTCAGCAGAAAACCATTTGACTGTTGCTGATCTGATTATATTACATATTGACAGTGTAGAACTCCATTACTGGCAATCTCCCAGCTGTGTTGCATTTCTTATCTCAGTTGACGTTGGTACATATCGACCTGTCCGCTCCCTCTGCTCAGGGGACTCTGGTCTGCTCCATATTCTCCCCCCACCCCACCCCCCGCCCCATCATTGTTGGTCAGGCCTTAAACCTTCCTGCTCCCATCCTTTGGAACGCCATCCCATAGTCCCTTCCCCTCGTCTCTGACTTGTCTCCTTCAAGGCCCGTCTCAAGACCTTCCTCTTTGACCATGCCTTTGGTCACCCTCCTACTGCCACCTACTGTGCCCTCCACTCCGATCCTCCCTGCCCTCTACCCCCATCCTCCCTGCCCTTGTTACCTACCCTCTCTGCCCTCCACGTCCTGATGCCAACCCCCAGCTCGAGTACAAATCCCTGACGGTCCAGCGCCTTGGGACGTTTCCTAACATGAATGGCGCCATACAATTGATTTCTACACTGATATTGTTGGAGGAAGTTCTGGGAACAAGGAAACAGCAGCATGCCACTGAGCTACCTCTATCATTAAAGACTCTGGAAACTTGATAATTCTATTTATTTTCTGTGTTTCTCTCTGCTCTCTATCCTTCCTCTCTTTGCATCTGCACATCCCTTTCCTCTCTCTGTGTCTCTCTCCTCTGTGTGGTGTGCGAAGTGCTTGCATGCATGTGTATATCTATCGCTGTACCTCTTAATGTCTTTACTTATTAACTATAAAATTGTCTGCCTTTGTTGTTTTTTCACCTTCCATCGTGATCTCTGTTGTTTGCTAAATATAACCTTGAAGCCTTCATCACAATGTGCACAAGTGTAGCCTGAGTGACAGGGGTGCTACCTCCACTGTAGAGAAGTGTCCTTTTTTTGCTCGTCTCCCTGAGGTGTATGTCAGCTTGGCTGACATCTGTAAGAGTTTCGCTACCATAGTAAATTTCTCTGTCCGAAGCGAAATGCACTGTCTCTCCCTGGAGGGAAACCCCCTCATCCAAACCTGGGGACCACAGTGATTTCCTTTGAATTGTCATCTTGGCGCCTCTGAGTCAGAAGGTTGTGGGTTGTCTAAGATGACACTCCAGTGCAGTGCTTGGAGGAGCACTGCAATGTCAGAGGTGCCATCCTTCAGATGAAGAGATGTTGGCAGGAGCTGAGGCTTCTGTCTTGTCCATGTTGAGAGCCTGTGTTGCAGGAAAGTTGATGAGGGACATCTTTGTACAGAAGAACGTGAGATTGTGGAACTGACGGTCAGAAGCTGTGGTTGAAACAGAAAGCATCAATCCATTTATAATAATAATAGTAAATAGTAATAATCTTTGCATTTGATTTAGCGGTTGATCACGTCATTCAGAGTTTTCAAAGCTCTTCACAGGATATACTGTAAAGTGGATTGGGTGTGTATTTTGTGGGCGAAATTAGTTTGCACACAGCAATGTCCCACAGACAGTCGGGGAGTCCCAATTTTATTTTTGGGATTGGTAGCCAGGACAATGGGAGAGAGAAATTCCCTTCTCTTTTAGAATAGTGCTATGGGATCTTTAACATCCACCTGAACTGGCAGACAATGCCTTGGTTTAATGTCTCATCCAGCTTAGACAATGTGATTCCAAGTCCTGACATGGGGCTTGAAGCCACTCAAAGTCGAGAGTGCTGCCAAGGAGCCAACTGTTGTTGTAATATCCCAGGATTGTGCGTTGTTGTGGGTGGTTTCCAATGATTTGCATCCATAGCAGTTGAAAACAAAGTTCAAAACCTCATATTCTGCTTCGCGCTGTTCTGGCTTCCGAACTAAAAATGTTTTGAGCGAGCCAGGGGTCTGACACATGCGGAAATCCATCCCCGTGCTTAAGAGTATCCAAACCAAACTGAGAATTCCATGCATCCCACCTACACAATGTAAATCCCAGCGATACATTGTTGGAATGGAATGCGTACTATCTCCCTGGAGGGACGCATCCTGCTTACCTAATTATAATAATAATCATTGCATTTGATATAGAGCCTTATCACGTCTATGAGATGTCTCAAAGCGCTTCACAGAATATACTGTAAAATGAATTCCAGAAAGTATTAGGCGCAGGTTGGCAAGAGCAAGGCTTGGGGACCTCAGAGTGTCTTGCCAATCTGTGCCTGATACTTCCCTCTGAATTGAAGGTGGCCGACCCTGATGTCTCTCTTTACTCCCTCACAGTGAGAGATTCTTTGTGAAGCTCAACAAAAATGGTTTGCCGAAATTTCCGGACAGGATGGAAAGACAATGCACGCTTTTTGTGGTAAGCGATAACCTCTGCCGTCCACTTGTTCAGCAAACTGATTGGACCTCCCTGGATCATCCTTCAACCTTGCGCTCGTTGCCCTCAACCCCTCCAGATCCCAAACCCCAGCTCGGGTGCAAATCCCTGACCTTTGCGACGGTTCTCACCCCTTCTGTATACTCGCGATGTGTATCTCGCCCACCCTCGCGGAGTGTACTAGGTGGCCTCTGTGTTCGATTCCTCTCTACAATACAATACAGATTTACATTTGTATACTGCCTTTCACATCAGGAGGACATCCTAAGGCGCTGGACAGTCAGGGATTGGACCCGAGCTGGGGATCAGGATCGGGGAGGATGGAGTATGGGAGGGTGGCCAAAGGCGCATTTGAAGAGGAGGAGGGCTTTGAGATGCGCTTTCAAGTAGGCAAGGGAGGGAGTGAAGCAAAGGGAATGTGGGATTGAGTTCCAAAGGTGTGCCGGATGGTGGACGTGGAGCAATGAGTGCAAGTTCCCCAATTTAAGGTGTACTTCACTAGAGTTACCATGATGACAGGTATTGCCAATTTCTGTTTATAGAGAATTGGGAAGCTTCTGTCAGCAGTCTATCGCACTAGCAGACTGCGAGGTAGGCTCAAGATGTTTATGTTTGTCCTCCTTCCAGATTTAAGACAGAGAAATTTAAGACAGTCAAGAAAACTTGATGGCATTTTATTGTTCCAATGAAACACACAACCCTAGGCATTAATAACTTAACACTTCCCGACAAATCAGATAAAAACAATGCCAGGGAATAATAAATACGAAACACACTTAACTAAAATAAACAAGCAGCTATTTGACAAAAAGTCAGTGAAAGAATGCACAAAAAGCCAATTTCTGCCTACAACAGCAACTTGCAATTATATAGCGCCTGCCACGCAGGATAGCATCTCAGAGCGCTTAACAGGGATGGCTCCTGACTCAGAGCTGGGGAGGGGGGGAAGGAGGCAGTAAGCACGGCCGAAGAGGAAGGTTTTCAGAAGGGACATGAAAGAAGGAAGAGATGGGGCAAGGCAGAGAGATCAAGGGAGAGTATTCCAGAGTTTTGAGGCATGGTGGCTGAAAGACCCAACTCCAATGGTGGGGCAAAGGGCGCGAGGGATGAGCAGGAGGCCTGTGCCAGTCGAGCTGAGGTGCCAGGGGTGGATTGGTGAGTGAGGAGGTCGGAGAGGTAGGGAGGTGTCAGGGAGTGAATGGATTTGAACATTGAGTGTGAGGATGTTGAAGTCGATCCGTTCGATGATGGGGGGCCAGCGGAACCTGGCCAGAACTGGTGAGATGTGGTTACGGGGTTTGGTCCGGGACAGTATGCGGGCAGCAGAGTTTTGAATGAGCTGCATCTTTTGAATGGTGGAGCTGGAGAGACGGGCGAGGAGTGTGTTGGAGTAATCCAAGCGGGAGGTGACAAACACATCCACAAGGGTTTTGGCTGCATTTGGGGTAATGTACAGTCGGAGGTGGGCAATGTGGTGGAGCTGGAAGAAGGTGGTCATGGTCAAGGGCCAGATGTGGGGAAGGAAGGACAGCTGGGGGCTGAACTGGATGCCTAGGTTACGCTCTGGCTTGGTGAGTCTGAGGGAAAGCCCAGTGAGCTTGAGGAGTTTAGATCCGCAGGAGTGACGGGAGCCAAGGAGTATGGCTTCCGTCTTGTCCATATTCAGCTGCAGGAAGTTTATATTCATCCAGGCCTCGATGTCTGTCAGACAAGCAGACCTGGAGTTAGTACTGGAGGAGACTAAGTAGGTTTGTGTGTCATCCGCATACATGTGGAAGTTTACCCCGTGTCTGTGGAAGACATCGCCCAGAGGAAGCATATAGATAAGGAAAAGAAGAGGGCCAAGGATGGAGCCCTGGCTACCCCGCAAGTGACAAGGCAGAAGCGGAAGGAGAAACCATTTGCTGCGATGAAATGGAGGCGATTGGTTAAGTAGGATTCATACCATGAAAGTACGGTTGCACGAAGGTGGATGAGGGAGGAGAGCCGATGGAGGAGGATGGCGTGGTCGACTGTGTCAAACGAGTCAGAGAGATCCAGGAGGACGAGGAGACAGAGGGAGCCCTGGTCACAGAGAGAGAGAATGTTGTTTATGACTTTGATAAAGCGCTATCTCTGTGCTGTGGGCAGGGCCAAAACCAGACAGCAGGGGGTCGAGGAAGGAGTGGAGGGAGAGGTATGACCAAAGTTGACCTGCAACAATGCATTCCAGGATTTTGGTTCCAGGGTAGGTTGGAGATGGGACGATAGTGTAAGAGATTAGAGGGATCGAGGGTGGTTTTTTTGAGGAGGGGGTGTGATAACAGTATTGGGGAACAGAGCCTGAGGGGAGAGACTGGTTGACTGTGTCGGCCAGCAGGGGGGAGAGAAGTGGGAGTTGAGTGACTAACAGCTGGGTGAGGAAGGGGTCAAGGTAGCAGGTGGTGAACTTCATCCGAGTGATTGTGGTTGAGAGGCAGGAGGGAGAAATAAGGGCAGAGTGTAAGGAGGGGTGAGTGGTAGGAGCTGTGGCGGAGGGAGAAGACGGTGTGGATGGTCTAGGTGGGGTGGGTACATGGGGGCGAGAATGATGCAGCCAAGCGGATGTTTTAAATTTTTGAGGCGAAGAGTTTAGGACCTCTTCACACTTGGCGTTTGATGTGAGGATAAAGGGAGCTTGAGGGGTGCACGGAAGAGGTGATGGACTGTGGAAAATAGCATCTTTGGATTGTTGTTTGCCTCCAGACCTAGAGGACTACTCAGTATCAGTCAGGCACGTTTCTTTGACGACACCAGGTAAAACAGCGAAGCTGAGCCCATGTGCGCTTCTTTTATGGGCTGTAAGCCCCGCCCCTTTTGGAAAGTATCTAACAATACTTTTCCCCGCCGAAAATACAAAGTATTATCATGTCTCCAATCCCCGGACCTATGTGATCCTGTTTTCCCGCCTTTTTGTATCCATTCAAAACTAAATCTCAGACCTGATGTTACCAAAGTGGATTTACTTTAAATGAAATTTTGGTCTATGGAAGATAATTGCTCTCTTAAAGCGAAACTGCATTTAAACAGAATAACGCATGTGCAAGCTTTAAACAGTGCATAGAAAAGAAGCTTTCAATGGCACATAGACAGTAAAAGAGAAATTATTGTAAATAAAATAATGGGGTGACAGTAACACTGTCCAGCGCCTTGGGACATCCTTCCGATGTGAAATACACTATACAAATGTAATTTGTTGTTGTTGAAACATACAAACGATCCAGCAGGTAAATCAGTTCACAGCCAATACTGTGATCTTGAGGGTGGGAGGGTCACTTCACAGTCAGAGATGCTCTGCATGTTCCGCTCCACCAATGGCGGCCATGTTTCCAGCCACCGTGGCCTGAAATTCTGGAACTCTCTACCTCAATTCCTCCACCTTACCCCCGCTCTACCCATCTTCAGATCACACAATCTCATCTTTGAGGTCTACAGTCACCTCCTGTCTATCTCTCCGGCTCAGCATCAAGCCACTGTTGAGAGCTGAGACATTCTCCCCTATGAAGGGCCCATAAATGCAAATAGCTGTTACTGTTTGTGGGCAGTTTGTGGCCTTGCTTTGTTGCTTCGTGGTCTTAAGGTTGATGGTTCAAGCCCCACATCAGGATTTTGAGCTCATAGTTCAGGCTGACTCTCCAGTCCCATGCTGGGGGTTTGCTGTGTTGATGGCTGTGCCAAACTTCGGATGAGACGTTAAACCAAGGTCCTGTCTGCCTATTCAGATGGACGTTAAAACATCCCATTACACTATTTGAAAAGAGAAGGGAGTTTCTCTCTTCAAGTATCCTTATCCCTCAGATAAAACTGGTTGTTCACTTCATGTCTGTTTGTGGGACATTGCTATGTGCAAATTGTCTGCTGCGTTCGTCAACAAAATACTCAGTCACTCTCTAGTAAAATGAAGTGTGAAGTGTTTTGAGACATCCCTGCTGACATGAAAGATGAGATATCAAATGCAAGGACTATTATAGTAAGTTCACAGTTTGCAAGATGAAGCATTCAGTCCGTGTAACAGTATATGATAAATGACAGACCGATTTCATAGAATCTGTGTGAAGGAAGGAAATCTTGCCTCAAAATTATGATTAATTTTCCCACTGACTTGTTACCTGACTTGTTTCCACATGACTTGTCACTCTGTTTCCACACGACTTGTCACTGTTATGAGCTGTGAGACACTGTTGCTTGTTGAGCTGACATGAAATATAATTTTTCAGGATTTGGGAAGCAGTGACCTCAGGAAGGACACGTACATCACCGTTCACATTATCAGATTAGGTATGACTTCTCCATTTTGGTTTCTTCAAGAACCAAAGAACTTTCAGAAACCTTGCTCACAAGATGTTGATTTGCCAAGCGCCCAGGTGGCCGACAACTAACAGCTGCTCTGCTCTTCCTTTTGCGCTGTCAGGTCGGATGGCGGCAGGCGAAAAGAAGAGCGTTTGCAACACACAGTATCGGAGACCGTTTGGTTGTGCAGTACTGAGCATCGCAGACCTGCTGCAGACAGAGAGGGACTCCAGGGAAGCAAAAGAGGACCACATCCTGAAAGTCTACATGTACGCTGCTCTATTCACTCTGAAAATAATAAGCCCTGGCATCCAGCCTAATATCTTTCCCCCTTTTTGTGGTATGGTTCTTTGTTGACATGGCGAGCTCGCCTTGCAAGCAAGAGGATCTGGGTTTGATTCCCGGGCAGCGCAAAACCTCAGGCAACATTTCTTCCACCACATGCTATTTGCCTAGCAGTGAGTAGGAACCCGGTTGTTAGTCAATTGGCGATTTACTTTCCGGGGGTTATAATCCCTCAAAAACAAAAACAAGAAAAATTGTCACTCAATCCACGACTGTTTGTGGGACACTGCTGTGTGAAATTCCCTCCTGTGCTTTACCCACAAATTACATGGTCAATCCACTTTACAATATATTCTGTGAAATGCAAGGATTATGGAGGCTTCACAAGCGAGAGATGTGGGTTCGATTCCCGGGCAGGGTGAAATGTTGGGCAGGTTTCCTTACTCCACACGCCTCTGTTTACCTAGCGGTAAGAAGGAACTCGGTTGTCAGTCGATTGGCGGATTGCTTTTCTGGGGATGATAATTTCTTCAAACAAAAATAATAAATTGGTCACATTAATCCACGACTGTTTGTGGGACACTGTTATGTGCAATTAGCTGCGGGGTTTCGTCCACAAAATATACAGTCAATTCACTTTACAGTATATTCTGAAGTTCTTTGAGATGTTTTGAAGACATCATAAGGCGCAACATCAAATTCAAGGATTATTATTCACCCTTTCCCACCCATGAAATTTTAATGCTCTACTGCCACCCAGTGGTTGAGCGAAGTGCAGCTGCTGAAATGTACCGAGATGTATGTAGCGCACGTTGACATTGTCTTGCTTTGGGGTTACAGAGGAGCAGGAGTAGGCCATTCAGCCCCTCGAGCCTGTTCCGCCATTCTATTAGATTATGGCTGATCTGTAGCTCAAGTCCATTTACCTGCTCCATATCCCTTCATATTACGTAACACAAATCTGTCTACCTCAGTCTTGAAAATTTGAATTGATCCAGTATCCACAGCTGTTCGGGGGAGAGAGTTCCAGATTTCCACTACCTTTTGTATGAAAGAGTGTTTCCTGATTTTGCTCCTAAATGGGCCAGCTCTAATTTTAAGATGATGTCCCTTGTTCTGCAACCTGTGTTCATAATGTAACCCTTTAAACCCTAGTATCATTGTCCAGCGCCAATACATCCTTCCTGAAGTTGGTGCAGCACATTGACCCAGGCTGATTCCCACCAGCAGAGCACAGACAGTGAGGTCAGCTCACATTTCAACACTATTGAAACAAGGCTAAGCTCTCCCTGGCACGTGCCGTCAAAGGAGGTTGAGGGGTGACCCAGTGAAGTTCTTTAAAATTTTGAAGGAATTTAATCGAGTCAAAAGGGAAAAATTATTTCCACTGGCCGAAATAAGCAAATGGGAAGGTTATGTGATTTTTCTCTCGCTGAAAATACAGTAAAACTCGCATAGGCTAATGATGGTGGTAGATTGCGAAGTTGAACAAGAACGAATCTACGCAAACACTATTTCAGTGAGCGAATAGTGAACCTGTGGAACAGGCTCCCTAGGGAGACGGTTGAAGCAGGAAGTGTTGATTTTTTCAAACACAGATTAAAGTTTTCTTTTAGGAAATAACATATGGGATATAGTACATGGGTAGTTTGGGACATATGTGCGTGCGACCACCACGAATGTGGAAGGCAAACTGGATGGACCTTGGTCTTTTTTTGTCTAGCATTTTTTATGTTCTTATAAGTCTTATCTTTATCAATCATATAAATGCCTGTCATTCATTCTCTCCGAGTCCCATTCAGTTTCCTATCAAAACCACTTAGATTTGTTTATACTTGTCATATTAATCAGCTTGTAACTTGTAACGCAGCTCCCCTCCCCTCCATTACTCCCTTCGATTACTGGCTGCCTTGAATCAAGGAAATGACAGCCTGACTCATCGACGCATGCGCGCTTACCAGCCGGCTGCACTGAATCATGAGAAACATAGTCTTCGCCTGTCGACACAGAGCAGAAGAACTTAATTTCCTTTGATTCAGTGTGATTCCAAAGTTTGCTGGTAAGTGCGCTTTCGGTGACGGGTCACAATGCATTGAATAGTCTTGACTCTTTTTTTGCTCAGCTGGGTGTCTGTCACATGCAGAAACACATCCCCATGTTTAAGAGTATCCATCCCACCTACATATGGAAATCCGAGAGATAGATTGTTGGAATGGAATGCACACTCTCTCCCTGGAGGGACAGATCCTGCTTATCTAATTCTGGAAAGTATTAGGTACAGGTTGGCAACAGCCAAGGTTTGGGGACCCAAAGTGTGTGTTGGGGTAACTGCTGGAGTCTAAACAGCTAAAACCACATAGATTGCCATTGATATCACTGATTGGCAAGCTTTTCCACTGTTTGTCCACCTTGGACCACACTCCCAGGTCAGGCTTAGAGCTTTGGCGTGCAGGGTTAACAGGAGCTGAGTGGGATGACTCCCTGCCCCCAGTAACTGGTCAGCCCTTCCAGGTCCTGTCAATGAGCTGTCATCAGCAATTCCCTGGCGTACTGTATACCGTTGGCTCAGGATCCGGACTACTGAGACTCCTACAGGAGGCTGTCTCAATTCTGACATTCCATTGTCATTAATACGAGCCAATTGACCTCCAAGGAGACTCCCCCCATCCCACGAGGATAGTCACTAGTTGTTCGTTCGACATTCGAAAAGCACGGGTTTGAACCCTCACTAGGGTGGATGGTAGGAGATTCCTTGCGAGCTTCCCAGTGGGCAATACATCTCAGCATGAAATATGCGAGAGCATTGCCACCGTTCTTCCTCTCTGTAGCTCCGACACACGTCCCTTCCCATTGAGAGATGTTTCCACTAATTGGAGTTGCGGAGTTTAAGCAGCAGCACAAACCCAGGGGTGGAACTTCCAGCACAAGAAGATGGAAAACTCTTGCCATGAATTTTTGACTGCCGAGGAACTGATTATGGACCATCAGACAATCAGAGTCAGGAAAATATGATGCAAAACAGCAGTTTCCGTCTGGTTGCTGTGCGGAGTGCAAGCTAGTTTACTTTCAATTCCAGCCCACAGCATACAGGCAATCTCAGGATGGGTTTGGTAGGGTAAATAAGTTATTTTCAAGTCAGTGATTTGGGGACATAGTTATAAGATAGTTACAAGAACAGCGAAAGGAGAACTTAGGAGGCATTGTTTCATCCAGAAAGTTGTTATGATGTGGAACACCCTGCTGAGTAAGTTTGAGGAGGTGAAGTCCATTGTGACTTTCAAGAGGGAAGTAGACAGGCACGTAAGGACAGGGCGTTGAAGGGCCATGGGGATAAGGCAGGGTGGTGGGATTATATTGATCTCCTTGCTCTGTGAGCAGGTGTGGACTCGATGGGCCGAATGGCCTCCTTTGTTGAAGAGTTCTAGGTTTCTGTGTCCTATGACTGGTTAAACTAAGCTGTGTATTTCCTTTGTGATATAACTTGTTAAACTGAGTTGTGTGTTCCCTTCGTCCACAAAATATACAGTCAATTCACTTTACTGTAGCTCCGTGGTTAGAGCACTCGCTTTGCAAGCGGGAGACCTGAGTTCAATTACAGGGAGAGGGCGAAACCTTGGGCAAGTTTCCTTACTCCACACAGAGCCTAATAATAATCCCTCCAAAACCAAAAACAATAATAAATTGGTCATTTTCAATCAACGACTGTTTGTGGGACATTGCTGTGCGCAATTGGCTGCCGCGTTCGCCCACAAATATACAGTCAATTCACTTTACAGTGTGTTCTGTGAAGCGCTTTGGGATGTCCTCCCGACGTGAAAAGCGCTATATCAAATGCAAAGATTATTATTATAATGTAACTAGTTTAACTGAGCTGTGGGTTCCCTTTGTGTTCCAGGTGCAATACAGAGAGTGAATGGTACCAAATACATGAAAATATTATCAAGAAATTGAATGCACGATACAACTTGACAAGTTCCAATGCTGGTGAGTTTGACGTTTCCGGCTGATGTGGGATGGAAGGCCTTGATTTAGTGCCTCGTACACAATCAGTGGTGAACCTCCATTGAATGATGGAATCAAGCCCACCTCAAACAGGGCTTTACAGAGGGAAATGTATTCATGTTTTTTTATAGAAATCGTATTCTCTTTGACCGAGCCTTCAGCTCCCCTCTCGACTCTCTTCCCTCTCCTCGCTCCCTCCCTTCCCTCCCCTCACCCTGACCATTTCCCCCCTCCTCGCTCCCTCCCTTCCCTCCCCTCACCCTGACCATTTCCCCCCTCCTCGCTCCCTCCCTTCCCTCCCCTCACCCTGACCATTTCCCCCCTGCTCGGGTCATGACCCAACTGTGCAGCGCCTTGGGACGTCCTCCTGACGTGAAAGGCGCTTTATAAATGGAATCTTGTTGTTGTTGTTGTACACAACTCTGAAGCATTTCATTCTCTCCCATGCTGGGCTATTTGAGCCTACCATCTTATTCTTGCTTGCCTCAATGCCTCCCTATCTCCCAGCAGATCAAGTTCAAGACCTTACCTTTACCTTTAAATACTTCCAGAACCTTGTCAGCTCTCCCCTCCCTCCCGGTGACCAGCAGCCAATTTGCACACAGCAATGTTCTACAAACAGCCATGGAAGGAGTGACCAATTTTTATTTAGTGGATTGTTGGCCTGGACACTGGGAGAGAGAAACTCCCTTCTCTTTTTGAATAGGTCCATGGGATCTTTACAGCCCACTTAAACAGGTCTCTGTTTAATGTCTCATCTGAAGGACAGCACCTCTGACAATACAGTGCTCCCCCAGCACTGCACTGGAGTATCAACTTAGACTGTTGTGTGCTCAAAGTTCTGATTTGAGTCTTGTTGAGCATGGAATTGACTGCTCAGTGGGATCTCAGCATACCAGTGGAGAATATCTTGCAGTCTCATCCCTGACAACCATCTGTTTTATTAGTGTACTTGTTAACTGTTGAAACCATCTGTCATCAGGTTTCACTTTATCGCAATCTCTGGAGTGCTTCGCACCAGACCTTTCTCCGGTGAAAACAAATGTTTTACTTAACTCTCCCTGTCCTCTGCGGTTGATGGAGTCCTGTAGTGTAGCAGATAGTGCGATCACCTCACAAGCGAGAGCACCCGGGTTCAATTCCAGCAAAACCTTAGGCATGTTTTCTTACTCCATAAGCCTCTGTTTATCTATCAATAAGTAGGAACCCACATATTAGTCGATTGGCGGATTTCTTTTCCGGGGGTAATAATCCCCTAAAAAGAAAATTTGGTCACTCAATCCACGCCTGTTTGTGGGACACTGTTCCGTGCAATTGGAGTTTTGCCCATAAAATACGCGGTCAATCCACTTTACAGTATATACTGTGAAGCACTTTGAGGTATCTCAACGACATGATAAGGCCCTATATAAAATGGAAGTATTATTATTATGGAATGTTGCAACCAGTGCTTGTACAATTTTTTATTACATTTTTGATTTTTACCTTTGCAAGGGTTGAGGTTGAGAAGCGGTGAGCAGAATAAGAGACAAACAAGATTACTCCCAGCTCCAAAGGAACAGCTAGCATGACCCATCCCTGACTCACACATTTTCGTGGTCAAAGTCTTGTTATTTCCCATTCTTTTCGTCTCTTATCTAAAAGGCCGCAACTGAGGTGCAGTCCTACAGTGACCCATAAGATCAAAGGATCAGTTCAGATGAAGAAGTCCCTTAGACCCACCTGATCTCATTCTTTCAGAACACCCACCCTACTGTTCCCCCGTGACAGCATCAAGCTGCCTTTATCCATCACTGCTTCTGACAGTGAGAATCACATTCTCACCACCCTTTGTGTGAAGAGTTTTACCCTCCTAAACTCTTATCAGATCTACTTGTGGCACAGTTATATTTACGCACCCTTCCACCTGCCCCATCCTTTTAGTCTGTTTTATTTTGTCAGATGTGACTTTGAGGAGTGTGACTATTGGCTGGACGTTGGACCTCACCTGTCTTTCCCCTCTGTGTTGAAGGTCTGTCAGTGGTGCTGCAGCTGCTTCATGGAGAGATGGATCAGATCCGGAGAGAGTACCCAGTTCTCTTCACCCGAGGAGTGGCTGTCACCAGGAAGCTGGGCTTCTCTGACATTATAATGCCAGGTGAGCCCAGAGAGCGACAGATTAAAACTGACCAAACTGGTTGCTGGAAGTAACTAATTTAGCCTGCTCACTCTTGCCTCTGAGACAGAAGGTTGTGGGATCAAGCCTCAGGTCAGAACTTGGTGGAGTCCTGTAGAATAGTGGTTAGCATGCTCGCCTCGCAAGCGAGAGAAACTGGGTTTGATTCCCGGGCAGGGTGAAACCTTAGGCAAGTTTCCTGACTCCTCACACCTCTGTTTACATAACAGTAAGCAGGTTAGTCGATTAGAGGATCGCTTTCCAGGAGTAATAATCCCTTTAAAAAAAATGGTCACTCAATCCACGAATGTTTGTGGAACATTGCTGTGTGCAATTGGCTGCCGGGTTTCACCCACAACATACACAGTCAATTCCCTGAACAATATATTCTGTGAAGAGCTTTGAGGCGTCTTAACTGCAATATATCAAATGCAAGGATTATTATTATTATTTTATTATTATTATCACATAGTCTAAGATGACACTCCAATGTAGTGCTGGGTGTGTTCCATTGTTGGACGTGCCGTCCTTCAGTTAACAACAACAACAATAACTTGGATTTATATAGCGCCCTCCACGCCGGACGGTGTCTCAGAGCGCTTTACAGTAACGGATCCCGGGACCGAGCCAGGAGGAGAGGGAAGAAGGTGACCAAAGGCGCAGTCGAAAAGAAAGGTCTTCAGCAGAGACCTGAAAATGGGAAGGGAGGGAGCGAGACGAAGGGAGGGAGGAAGGCAGTTCCAGAGCCTCGGCGCCTAGTGGCTGAAGGCACGGCCGCCGAGGGTGGAGCGGAGGACTCGGGAGATGAGGGGGAGGCCAGACACGGAGAAACAAAGGCAACGGGTACTGTTTTGAGGAGAGAGGAGGTCAAAGAGGTAGGGAGGTGCAGAGGAGTGCAGGGACTTGAATATAAGGGTGAGGATCTTGAAATCGATCCTCTCTGGGACAGGCAGCCACTGCAGTCTGGCAAGGACTGGGGTAATCAGGGAGCGGAGTTTGGTGCGGATAAGAATGCGGGCGGCAGAGTTTTGCATGACCTGGATTTTATGAATGGTAGTGGAGGGGAGACCGGCAAGGAGGGCGTTGGAGTAGTCCAGCTGAGAGGTGACAAAGGCATGGACCACGGTTTCAGCAGCTTTTGGGGAGAGGTATTGGCGGAGACGGGCGATGCGTCGGAGATGGTAGAAGGCGGTGCTGGTGAGGGACCAGATGTGGGGGAGGAAGGATAATTGGGGGACGAACCTGACGCCGAGGATGCGTATGGGTTCGGAGAGTTTTAGGGGGAGGTCGGGTAGGTGGAGGAGGTGAGAGCCGTGAGATTTTAGACGTTGACGAGAGCCAAAGAGTATAGCTTCCGTCTTGTCAACGTTCAGTTGAAGGAAGTTTGCGCTCATCCAGCCCCTGAGATCTGACAGGCAGGCTGACAGAACATCAAGGGGCTGGGGGTCGCAAAGAGAGGTTGAAAGATAGAGTTGGGTGTCATTTGCATACATGTAGAAATGTACCCCATGTCTACGGATGACATCACCAAGAGGGAGCATGTAGATCAGAAAGAGGAGAGGGCCAAGGATGGATCCTTGGAGTACCCCAAAGGTGACCAGGTGAGAGTGGGAGAAGCCGTTTGTGCAGATGTACAGATGTACATCTGCACAAGCCGTTTGTGCAGTTGTGCAGATGTGCAGATGTACTGCTGGTGGATTGTGAGGTAGGACTCGAACCAGGCGAGTGCAGTCCCACTGAGGTGGATGACGGAGGAAAAGCGATGGAGGATGGCTTGATCGACTATATCGAACGAGGTGGAGAGGTCCAGGAGAACAAGGAGGCAGAGGGAGCACTGGTCACAGATAGAGAGAATGTCGTTTGTGACTTTCACAAGCGCAGTCTCTGTACTGTGGGCAGAGCGGAAACCGGACTGGAGGGGTTCGAAGAGGGAGTGGGAGTAGAGGTGTGCGCCAAGTTGGTTGGCAACGACGCGTTCTAGAACTTCTGAGAGGAAGGGCAGGTTAGAAATAGGGCGGTAGTGGCTGGGGTTTGAGGGATCTAGGGAAGGTTTTTTAAGGATGGGGGTGATGACAGAAGTTTTGAGGGAGGCAGGGACTGATCCAGAGGAGAGGGGTTGGGCAGAGGAGGAGGAGCTGGGTGACCAGTAAGTTAGTGGGGAGGGGGTCGAGGCAGCAGGTGGTGTGTTTCATGGAGGTGATGGTGGGTGAGAGGGAGGAGGGAGAAATGGGGAGGAAGGAATGTAGAATGGGAGTGGTGGTAGGAGCAGATGATGAGGAAGATGAGGGGGACAGAAAGGGCATGGTGGTGGGTGACAAGATGCAGGTGGATGAGGCTGCCTGGTGGATGTTAAGTATTTTAGAAGAAAAGAAGTCCATGACCTCCTCGCACTTGGCATTTGATGTGAAGTTTGAGGAGGCCTGAGGGGGGGGCACGGAGGAGGTAGTGGGTGGTGGAAAAAAGGATTTTAGGGTTGTGTTTAGCCTCCAAGACAATGTTGGAGAAGAAGGCCGTTTTTGCACGAGTCAAAGAACGGCGGTAGCTGTGGAGATACTCGAAGCCGTGGGTGATGATGAGGTCAAGTGCGTGACCACAGTTGTGGGTGGGTGAATTTATATGGAGGGTGAGGTTTAGGGAGGAGAGGAGGGCAGTGAAATCGGCAGAAGTGGTGCAAGGGGAGTTTAGGTGGAGGTTGAAATCGCCCATTATGAGTAGGCGCTCGGAGCAGAGGGACAGGGAAGAGAGGAGGGTAGAGATGTCTGTGTGGAAGGAGTCGGGCGGGTTGGGGGGGCGGTAGATAAGGAGGATTTTCAAAGGGAGAGATGGGTGGAAGAGGGTGAGGTGCTCGAAGGAGGGGAAGCAGCCAGAGGAGTAGGGAGTGAGACCAAGGGAGGCTTTGAAAATGAAGGCCACCCCGCCACCACGCTGGTTTGGACGGGGGTGTGTGTGGTGGAAGGTGTAGCCTGGAGGGGAGCATTCCACTAGGGGGACGGAGTCATTGGAGGAGAGCCAGGTTTCGGTGAGCCCAAGAATGTCAAGGTGCTCGTCCAGGATGAGGTCGTGGATGGTGAGGGCTTTATTTGAGAGGGAGCGGACATTTTGGAGGGAAATGCGGGTGGGTTTGCAGGAGGGAGGGGAGGGAGGAGAGAGTGGTGCGGAGAGGATTTTGGGTTGTGCAGGAGAGATGGTTGTGGAGAGTGGTGTGAGTGGAGAGTTGTGGAGGGTACGTATGAGGGAGGGGGAAGTTGGATTTGCCTTAAGGAGGCGGTTTGAGAGGAGGGAGTGAATGATTAGACACGTGGGGTTGCTGCTCTGGGACAGCCAGTGCAGGGAGCCACGATGGGCCCGGCGGAGGATGCCCAGGCTGGAGCAGAGGGAAGTGGCGATGGGGTTGAGGAGAGAGAGAAGGCGGGGAGGGCGGTGGGAGAGAAGGACAGAGGGGGAGTAACGGATAGAGGGGTGTGGAAGGAGAGACATGGAGGGGGTTGAGATTCTCATTCAGAACTCTGCCGCCCGTATTCTCACCCGCACTAAACTCCGCTCCCCGATCACCCCAGTCCTTGCCAGACTGCACTGGCTCCCTATCCCAGAGAGGATCGATTTCAAGATCCTCACCCTTGTATTCAAGTCCCTGCACTCCTCTGCACCCCCCTACCTCTCTGACCTCCTCTCTCCTCAAAACAGTACCCGTTGCCTTCGTTCCTCCGGGTCTGGCGTCCTCCTCCTCGTCCCCCGAGTCCTCCGCTCCGCCCTCGGCGGCCGTGTCTTCAGCCATTATGCCCTGGAACTGCCTTCCTCACTCCCTTCGTCTCGCTCCCTCCCTTCCCATTTTCAGGTCTCTGCTGAAGACCTTTCTTTTCGACCTCACCTTTGGTCACCTTCCCCCCCTCCCCCTGGCTCGGCCCCGGGATCCTAAACTGCAAAGCGCTCTGAGACGCCGTCCGGCGTGGAGGGCGCTATATAAATCCAAGTTGTTGTTGTTGAGAGGAGAGACATAGAGGGGGAGGCTTGGGTTGGGGCGGCAGCCAAAATGCGCACGCAGAGACCGGGAGCGAGCGATCAGTGGGACGGCATCAGCCCGCAGGCTTAACCTCCCAGGTCATGACCGAGTGGCAGTGACTGCCAGGCCATTGTTGTTGTTGTTGCTGGGTTTTTTTTATAATTTTTTTATTAACTGCGATGTCACGCTGACGTCACTTTGTGAAACATGCCCGCCCTACCCCCTCACTTACCTCAGCTCCTACCTCGGCTCCCGACTCAGTGGCTCCTCACCTGGCTGTGCTTTATATACATGGCTAGGCCTCGGCTCCGCCCCGCACTCTCCTATCTTAGAAGATATACTACAACCTTACACTTCACTCTGGTCTCGCCTCACTCTGGACGTAGCTCACTCTGGGCCCTCTGCTCGAGTGCTCAGTTAAGACATTTAACTGAGACCCAGTCTGCCTGTTCAGGTGGATGTAAAAGATCCCATGGCACTGTTTGGAAAGTGATGTCTTAACTCTTCAGAGGATGTACTGTAAAGTGGAGTTGCTGTGTATTTTGTAGGCCAATGATCCCCCAAATTAAATTGATCAATTACTCCATAGCTGTTTGTAGAACATTGCTGTGTGTAATTGGCTGCCGCGTTTCGCCCATAAAATTCACTACACTTTACAGTATATTCTGTGAAGCAGTTTAAGAAGTCTTGATGACATGATACAGCGCAAAATCAAGTGTAGGGATTATTATAATTCCTCTGGAACTCATCGTGTGTTGTTGTTGCACGCTCATCTCCTGCTCCTCCGGGTTTTTTATGCAAACTGAAGCATGATAGATTACTGTAAGAAATCTGCAAATTGTTCCCGTAGTATCTTTGATCTTCAAAACTGCTTCTGTTTAGGAACTGGAAATGACAAAACCGTAGAAAGCATTGCCCCTGTTATTTTTGTTACCCCTGTTACTCCACTCCGCCCTTCCAGCCATAAAGTAATCATAAAACA